CTGTAAAGCCTTATCTAAAGATGTTTTCGCTTTATTGCCAATGCAAAGGTATTTGATTGTGTGGATCATAATAAAGTCTGGATAAAATTGAAAAGAATAGGTATTCTAGAACACTTAATTATGTTCATGAAAGACCTGTACATAGACCAAGAGGCAGTTGTTCTAACAGAAAAAGAGGATAATGAATGTTTAAAATCAGGAAAGGTATGCACCAGAGGGTTATCCTTTCACCACACTATTAAGTCTGTATGCTGAGCATCCATGGACAGCCAGAAGAACAAACACATCTGTATTTGCAAGAAGTACAACTAGAATGCTCCTTAGAAGTGAAGATGGCAAAACTTAATCTGAAATATTTTGGACATGTTGTCAGGAGGGAACAGTCCCTGGAGAAGAACATTATGCTTGGTATATTGGAAGGTTAGTGAAAAACAGGAATACCATCAATGAGATGGATTGACACAGTGGCAGCATCAATAGGCTCAAAGATAACAATTATAAGGATGATGCATGACTAAGTAGTGTTTCATTTTGTTGTGCATAGGGTCATCAAACTTGACAGCACCTAACATCATCAACAACACATCCTTTTCTACAACAATAACAATTCTAACCTCAATACAGATGCTGGAGAAAGTTCAGGCTCCTCCAACTATCTACCATCCTGGTGGTCACCTCTCACTGCTCAATCAGCTCATCCCATCATCTCTAATCACTGTTCCTCCAGGACACTATTCTTTCCCAATTAGGTGTGAGCTGTGCCCTTCCCTCACTGTCCACAGAGAATGCTGAGATGAGCTCATTTGTAACCATAGTAATTCCTTTGTAAAAAAAAAAAAAAGTATATGTATATATTAATTTCCTTATTATACTGCAAAAAATAAATAAATAAATTTAAAATGCATAATAAAGTAATTGCCTCTAAAGTTTTCCAATTATTTTTCTACTGTCTGTTTTCCCAAATTGCTAAATCAGTTAACATGATAGTGCCTTTAAGTTTCCCACACTAGAGACATTGAAACTGGAAGATACTGTTGTTTATTTCAAATTCTCCCATCCAGACTGGGTTCTTGACCTTATCTTTAATGAGCTTTTCATTATGCAAAGTGTTTTCACTAATGAAGTCTGTCTCATAGCTGGAATGCAGAAATAATTGGTTTTATAAATAATAAACATACTTCACACACCCATCCAAATTTATTCTTTGTTTTCTTTATTGGTAATTTTTCTTCCATGTCACAGATTTGTTGTTTGTTTGTTTTGTCTAGGACTGAGTGAAAAATCTTCAAAAATGCATTTCTGGATTTTGATTCCTGCATTTCTTTTGCCAATTGTGGTGATAATTTGTTTGATAATATGTTACAAACAACGCAGAGATAATAGACGATGCAGAGGTAATAGTCATGGAGAAATTGAGCTCTTTCCTTGGGTATTGAGGTACAAGCATACTAAAGATGACATAAATATACAGTTTAACTATTGTTGGACATGCAAAGGGATCAAATTTTTCTGGAGAGTCGTTTACAAAATCTATCTAAAATCTTTTTAAATAGTCCTACATTCCCACCTAACCATTCTATTTGAAGGAATTTCTCTTGAGTAAATGATCAGGGCCATACGAAGTTTATATGCAACCATAATCATTGCACTACTTCCAGTTTTCTACTATTTTCTGATTAATTGATTAAATTAATGTAAATTATGTGCTATTTTGTTTTGTTACTAAAAAAGAAAACTTTAAATATAACATTAAACTGATATACAGATGATCCTAACTAATCATTCGGCCTTCAAAAGCAGTTGGAAAGAAATTAAACCAAAGCTTTAAAAACAGTCACTTTTGGGATATTTGGGGTATGGATTTCCTCCCACCAGAATACCTCTTCCAAATACTTCAAACTCCAGCATCTTCTCATTACTTTCACTCCCATGCTCTGTCATCTCTTGCTCAGAACTAAATATAGTGTTGGTGCTGCTTGAAAGGGCATTGTCTGTATGAGCCGTTTTATTTTAAGTCTTGTTAACTTTTAATTACTAAAATTTTCTACAATGGGTTTCACTATTTGTAACTATTTAAAATGATACATTAGAATGCCATGATCATAGGACTTCTTAAAACATATTCCTTTTATCAACGTAATTTGAATTAGAAGGAACAGTTGACTCATGAACAATGTGGTGGTTGGAGATTCCAGCCCCCACACAATTGAAAATCCTCTCATAACTTTTGACTCCTCCAAAACTTAACTATGAAAAATATAAAAAAGTATTCAGCATAGCAAAAAAAAAAAAAACACTACATAAACAAACTTAACTACTAATAGTCTACTGCTGACAATAAGCGTTATAGATAATATGATGAGTTGATTAGCATCTGTTCTGTATATGTGTTATATACTGCACTCACATAAAAGCTGCCATTTTAACATGAGATAAAAGGTATTTTGCAAAAAGTGCAAGGTTTTCATGTCTGCTGATATTGCTACAGCAAAACCTTCATGAATGAATTTCCTTTACTTTCTTTTTTTAATATATATAAAATGGTCTTTATGCTGGACTCATTTTTCATGAAAAGGTGGGCAACCACAACTGCCAACCTCAACATATATTCACATCAAGCAGTTCAACTTGTCCATGCTTCTTGGTAGCACTTGCAACATCACTATGGCACTTCATATGGGTCCCATGGTGTAATTCAAGGCTTACAGTATTACAGTAAACACAATGAAAACTGTATAATAACCAGAAGAGATCACTTTTTGCTGAGATACACAATTTACTGATGAGATGAACAACTTACACGGAGAGGATCAGCGTTATGCAGCTCCCTTTTAAAAATCCAAGTATAAATGAACCTGTGCAGTTGAAACCCATTCATTCAAGACTCAACTGCGTTTGGCAAAACTTAGATCTAGTTTATGTTTGCTTTTTATAGAAAATGTATTCAACTGCTAAGTGGGCACGTGAAACACTTATTTATATGTACTGCCTAAAATCACCTGGCTAACTAGTATCCAAAACAGGTATAAGCCTAAGACTTTCTCTTTTCCGTTACTCTTCCTTATTCTGTAGTCTCCTTTATTCTGTTTGACTGCATTCTGAATGATCTAAGAGATTGAGATAGCTCCCATGTCCCTTTCTTAGGTTCCTTTGATTGACATTTACCTATTGTCTCCACCTAAGTTAGGGGATATGGTCATAGTATAAACTATTATTAAAGAAAATGACTTAAAGTTGATAGTGAGTGAGAATTTCATCAATTCTATCCCTATTATTGTTTGTGCTATTAAGCATGCTAGTCTCCTTATTTGTTACTCTGTCCTTTCCTACAAAGAGATGGATGGTAGGTCATATATATTCTAGATTGTTCCTCCAAACCCAACTACTTGCAACTGGAGTTAGTTCATATAATGAGAGTTCAGAAACTCTAGTTTGGAATGACTGTTTAGTTTCTGCATTGAAATTAAGAATTAGTCAGGTTTTAATAGAAGGCACATGTTATTGTTGTTGTTGTTAAGTGTTGTTGAGTTGGTTCTGACTCATAATGACCCTGTTTAGGGCTTCCAAGGGGCATCGAAATTGTACAAAGGGGAATGCAAAGGTTTTTCCAGAGCCAGCAGCACCTGATCCCTTACTAAACCTATACTTGAAAGGATAAAGTAATGGAGCAGGTCTCAAAACCTGGAAGGAGAAAGTCATATAATGTCAGCTGCCTTGTAAGGAACAAAGACCTATAATAAAGGTACTCAATCAGTGAAGGTGACTTACAGAGCAGAAGCTGGGGGAATGACTACCTGTTTACACTCTTTTCCTTTCTGACCTCCAACCCACATAAGACTCAAAACCATCAGTCAGTCTGCTAATGGAACCCCTAAAGGGAAGGCTTCCATGTCAAAGAGCCATGATGAAACTAGATGAAAACTAGTTCTTCAGGATTCAAGGATATTGGAAACTTTATGGTATTGTCCACTTAAAAAGAAATTTTAACTATATTCTATAGTTAAAAAACCAAATACCAAACCCACTACCATCAAGTCGATGTTGACATATAGTAACCTATATAAGAAGTTGTTGTTGTTAAGTACCACTGAGTTGGTTCCGAACCATAATGACCCAGCATAGGGTTTCCAAGGAGTGGCTGGTGATCTAAACCACCATCCTTGTGGTTCAAACGACATTGAAGTCCAGCGCATTAACCTACAGTGCATTAACATGCTGCACCACACCAGGACTCTCCATATAGGATATAGATTGGTCAGCCTTTACAGGAACAGACAGTCTCGTCTTTCTCCTGCAAAGTGGCTGGAGGATTTGAACCTTGAGGTTAGCAGTCAAATGCTGATCCCAGAGTGATGTTCTGTAGTTGTTGTTGTTGTGTCTGTTGAATTGGTTCCAACTCATAGCAACCTTATATAGAACCCTAGTGGTTGTGATGCTGAAATAGAGGTGAAACTGTTATGCTAAAATCCACAAAACCTTGCTTAACTCCAGGCTCCTGGTTATAGTTCGTATGGCTATATAGTTCATGTAGTAGTCTTTAAATTATCTTTTCTATTAGTCTGTTTTTCAAAAATGCTCTTAGCTTAAACTATATATAATATGATTACATTTTAGCACGGCTCATAAGGAAAGCCTTCCTTGAGAAATAGTGTAGCATTGCTTGTTCCTTAACCATTAATATCAGTGCCTCATTGGCCATTGTTTTCCACTGTTAGTTGGTAGGTACCAGGTCATCATTCCTAAAGAGCTGGAATTGCTGGTCTGGTTGAACTGTCCTGATTCCCTTTGTATCACTCAAATTACAAAAAAGAATGTTATGCTGTTTCTTTCTGATGATGTGTTTCTGTAGTGAATTCATTTGTAAAGCTGATTGCTGGAAGAAAAACATGAGAGAGGGAGTAATTAAGGTTTTTCTAATAATATTGTTGTATTAATATAGAAAAGAGAGAATTTGAGTATTTGTAAAAAAATTTTAAAGCTTCTTCTCTTTTATCCTGTAGAAACTGGGTCTCCTGTCCCAACTGAAGAAGATTGATTTAATTACACAGAGGAAACCACGGTAAGGCATTTCCTTTATCAAACCATTTGTAATATAAGACTACAGCTGTTAAAAGGTAACTCAAGTTCTGACTGACTCACTGAATCATATCATATGAGTCTTTTACAGAGAAAAAAGAAAAGGTAGAAAGATTGCACAGGAATATTAGGAATATTAGGAAAAAATACAATTAGATCTTTCCTGACATCTGTAATTAAAGAGACTTTACTTACTTAAATAAATGGTTGCTTTTTGTCTCTCCTGCTATTTGTCAAGAAGATCTCAAATAGCACAACAATGGATATGAAGCTGCTCCCTATACTGATTCTTCTGATGGAAACATGAGATTTTATAAAGTAGATTCAGACACAGACAAAACAGAGTGAAGCAAACAATGATTTCTGACTAGGCTTAGAAATACTTTCCATACCTTCACAGTCATCTTTTGATTCCTTGTTAGGGCATTGTTTGGTGCTGTGGAGTCAGATCTGACTCATAGTGACCCCATGCACAACAGAACAAAACACTGCCTGGTCCTACACCATCCTCACAATTTTGTTATATTTGAGCCCATTGTTGCTGCCACTGTGTCAATCTGTCTTATTGGAGATCTTCCTCTATTTTGCTGACCCTCCACTTTACCAAGCACATCCTTCTCTAGAGATTGGTCCCTCCTGATAACATTTCTGAAGTATGAGAGAGAAAGTGTCGCCATCCTCTCTTTTAAGAAGCATAGTGTTTGCACTTCTTCCAAAACAGAATTGTTTATTTTTCTGGCATTCCATGGTACTTTCAATTTTCTTCTCCAACACCACAATGCAAATGCATCAATTCTTCCACAGTCTTCCTTATTCATTGTCCAACTTTCATATGCACATGAGGCCATTGAAAATGCACCTTAGGCCTTAAAATGGTTTCTTTGCTCTTGAACACTTTAAAAAGTTCTTTTATAGCATGGCAGGATAGAACACAAATGCTCCAAAGTGGGCACCCTAATGTCAGCTCAAACCATATCTCATATCTCATCTCCCTCCTCTCACTATGAATAAGGAAACTCTTTGTTCTCATGCTGTAATTATGCATATGCTAGGAAAGAGCCCACAGCCCCCTCCTTCCATTATGCATACCAAAATTCTTTGTTCTCTAGGAAGGGGCACTCTGTGTTTTTCCTACCTCTTCTGTGTTCCACATACTACCTTTGAAACTTCTATACTTGTGATATAAAAAGACCCTAGCCCATTACCCATCTCAGGGAAAATATTAACTGTCCAACTGGCCACCACTGGAGACAGCTGTCCACATTCTAGTTAGTAAGTTCCCTTGTTGGCAAACCATCTCTTTTACTCTCTTTTCTGTAATAAACTGACGTCTCCAGGATTGGTCTCTGGTCATTTCTTCTGTCTCTTGGCATCTATGTACACAGAAGTCTCTCTATTCTGGACCTAAGCCCCAACAATTGTCCAGCCAGCTAGGAGATTGAAAAAACCCTGGACTCCCAAGACAAAATGGAAGGGATAAAGGACTCTGCAGGTAGAATCCTGGGGTAGCCATAGATCTCCATGTTTGGTCCCTTAGCACAGTTGCTAGAGACTTGGAGACTAGCATATGAGTACAGGGATGTCCTAAAAATGCCACAAGGGTTGACAGAGCTCCTACAGGAAATTTGGATCTGTAAGACTAAGAAAGACACGAGGACTCACACCTCAGTAGCCTGGTCCATCCTATATACTGTATGTGCTGCTACAGAAATGGAGATGGCTGAAGCATAGTGATGGAAGGATGGACTGCTTTTAGAATGAGAGGCTCGAGTAGTGCAGGCTAGTACCACTGAAGCACTAGCCATCCATCTCCAACTATCTGATTTAGCCCACAACTTGGCTAAAGTGAAAGGATGACACTTGCCACAATAACATGTGCAAGCAGTAATTATGATGGTGGATTGAGACCTCAGTGGATTGGGACTTGCTGGAGTCCTCAATATGTCAGAAGGGGAAAACTGGGAAGAAGAGATGCACGTACCCCATCTTGAGGCCTGACCAGTTAGGATTACTAAAATTAAAACACATCATCCCCACCCAGTTGGCATGGATCCTGCTGATCTGCCAGCCCCTGAACACTGGCAGCTCATAAAAATGTGGGACTACATGCTCACTTACTTACTGTACTGGTAACTCAGTACAGGCAGAAAGATAAAGAGTTTGTGGCTGCTTGGCTCCTCCACATGTGGCGCATAGTATAATCCTCAATAGCCTTGAGATGTCTAAAATGCTTCTGCTACTACCCACACTGCATTGAGGAGGTCCCTCCACACTGCAATCAATGAGAACCTGGTAGCATCACTCCTGGTTTGGGTGATTGCAGCCTGCAGGGCAGCTTTGCTGAATGAGGGAGACATTCTAGCTTCTCGCATACACTAGACATCTATCGAGGAACTATAGGAAGAAATTAGTGAATTTAGGATAAAGCATGGCATATATGCAGAACATTATTGGGGTTCAGATAATGAGCTGATCACAGGCAAAATGAAGGATATCATTTTACAATTGGCTTCTAGCCAATGGTGTGAACCCAGATGTGCATACTGAGCCCTATGGTGGGACAGCCAGGGTCTCTGGCTACTCAGGCTGTAGCACACCTGGATAAAACTGGAAAGGTGTACCATTGGAATGTCCAGGCTGTGGACATGCAGGAGGGGGCAGAGCAGGTAAAAAAGCAGGCAATAAGAAAGTCTCAGTTTGAATTACTAGAAAGCAAATGTGGATTGACTTGTTTGCTGTGAGAACTCTCATGTACAAAGTTGACAAATAGCTTAACATGGCCCTGGTGAAACTGTGGCAGAAACTTCACTGAGCAGCAGTTCACCAAGAGAAAGGACTTACAAGTGTCTGTCACTCTTAGACGCCCCTGGTGTGGGCAATGCCTGTCTTCCTTAACTAGGGATGGGGCCACAGTCCTCCCAGTCCAAGGATATGGAGACTAATATGGGATCAGAGGTCCCACGTGGAAATGACTATCCATCTGTCTCCAAGTAATATACAAACTGCTTTAGTCCTAGTGGACATTGGGGCTGAGTGCATCCTGTATCATGGAAATAGCCACTGGTTCCAGGGGCTGTTGGGGGCTGTTGAAGGATATGGGGGCAGCACAGCTAAAGTATACCAAGTGACTTTGACTCTGAAGATTGGCCATTTGCCCCTCAAGGAATATAAAATACATATTCTCTCCCCAAATATGTCCTAGGGATAGAACTTTTTGAAGGGATGACACTTACGATGATTGTAGGAGAGTTCTGTTTAAGGGTCCATGAGGTAAAATCTCTTATTCAGGCACAGGTGAGTGGTTAATACCATCTACCTGGAGGGCATGAGGAGATTACAGCCACAGTAGGTAAACTTGCCTGGGTGGAGATTATTAGACCCACTCACAGTTCATTCAATAGGCTGGTATGATCAGTGCAGAAGTCAGACAGATCATGGCATATGACCATAGAGTATCATAGTGGTGTCCCCTCTTAATGCAGCACTGCCTAACATTGCTTTCCTCCTTAATGATACTGAAGAATGCTTGGGTACCTATCACTTTGTTCTTGATCTAGCTCATACCTTTTTCAGTATCTCTACTCACTCTGACAGCCAAGAACAGTTTGCCTTTGAATGGCATGGAGGACACTGTACATTCACAACTATCACTCAGCATTATGTCCACAGTCCCACAGTGTGTCATGAGCTTTTTGCCCAGGACCTAAAAAAGTGACATAAGTCCACTGGTGTCCACTTGTTCTATTATACTGATGATGCTATGCTAACCTGTGATTCTCTTCCCTTGCTTCAACAAGTAGCACTGCAGCTAGTGTCACACCTGAGTTCCAGAGCATGGGCCATCAACAATGCTGAACTGCAGAGCTCATCTGTCAAATTCTTGGGTGTTGTGTGGTAGGGTTAGACAAAGATGGTTCCTGAGGTAGTAACTGACAAAGTTAGTGCTTATCCTGACCTACCTACCAAAGTGAAGGAGTTGAAAACATTCCTGGAAATGCTGGGGTATTGAACACCCCTTATTCCCCACTTGTCACAAATTTTGGGGCCCCTGAACTACCTAGTAAAGAAAAGAAGCATTTGGGAGTGGATTCCCAAGGCAGAACTGTCATTTAATGAGGCTAAAGTAGCAATAAAGAAGGTGCAGTGTTTTGGGACCATAGCTATGGGGCAAGAGTGTGAATTGGATGTTGGCAGCTACCTATAAAAGTATGGTTGGGACCTGTGGCAATGACACAGGGTCAACAAATTCCTTCAGGATTTTGGCCTTAACTATGGAAAGGTATAGAAACCAGATACAGGCCTTTAGAAAAGGAGCTTTAGGCTGCATACAATAGCTTACAACTTATAGAAGACATCAAAAAAAGTGCCCTGTAATAATAAAAATGTACTACCCCATGTATTTCTGATATCATATAGGCCTTGGCTGAAAGCAAAGAATACCAGAAAGATGCACACTTGTGCTTTATTGATTATGCAAAGACTTTTGATTGTGTGAATCATAACTATCTATGGACAACATTGAGAAGTATGGTGCTCATGAGGAACCTGTACATAGAGCAAGAAGCAGTTGTTCAAGTAGAAGACGGGAATACTGAATTGTTAAAAATTAAGAAAGGTGTTTGCCAGGGTTGTATTCTTTCACCATACTTATTCAATCTGTATGCTGAACAAATAATCAGAGAAACTGGATTATATGAAGAAAAATATGGCATCAGGATTAGAAGAAGGTTCATTAACAACCTGCAATATGTAGATGATACAACCTTGCTTGCTGAAAGCCAAGAGGACTTAAAATACTTGTTGAAGATGATCAAAGACCACAGCCTTTGGTATGGGTTGTACTTCAATGTAAGGAAAACAAAAATGCTCACCATTGTACCTATAAACTGTTATTGTTGTTGTTAAGTGCCATTGAGTTGGTTTCAACCCATAGCGACCCTGAACAGGGTTTCCGAGGCT